TAGTCTCACTTCTCCGTTTAAGTCTCCTAGAATGGAGATTTTATTAATTGAGTTTCTTTTAGTTCTTAAATGTAACATATATATATACATATATACGAATGTCTTGTTTTATTACATAGATAAAATCTATAATCCATGAAATTTCCGACAGAATTAGAGTTAATACGTTGATCACAAGCTTTAACCCCACAAATCTTCCTTAATTTAGTAAACTCATCTTGAGGTGGATATGTGGTCCTACTCTGATTAGGGCTGGGCACGTTCCGACTTTTTTGAAATCGTTCCGTTCCGTTCTAGAACGAGGGCCTTCAGCTAAATCGTTCCGTTCTCGTTTCTCTTTTTTTTATCGTTCCGTTCTCGTTCCATTCCGTTCTGAGTAGAAGAACGGTCTTCCCGTTCCGTTCCGTTCTTGGTAATCGTTCCAATATTTTTAAGAACGCGTTCTAAGCGTTCGTTTTTTTCGGAACGATGGGATCGTTCTTGATCGTTCCGTTCGTTCTCGGCAAAGAACGAGCGTTCCACCGTTAACGCGCCCAGCCCTAACTCTGATTTGATTTTATTCAACTTGAAAATATATAGAATATGGAAACCCTGAAAACAGATGTTAACATGAAAATATATAAAATATGGAAACCTTGAAAATAGATGTTAACTTGAAAATATATAGAATACGGAAACCCTGAAAACAGATGTTAATTAAAAAATATATAGAATATGGAAACCCTGAAAACAGATGTTAACTTGAAAATATATAAAATATGGAAACCCTGAAAACAGATGTTAACATGAAAATATATAGAATATGGAAACTCTGAAAACAGATGTTAACTTGAAAATATATAGAATATGGAAACCCTGAAAACAGATGTTAACATGAAAATATATAAAATATGGAAACTCTGAAAACAGATGTTAACTTGAAAATATATAGAATATGGAAACTCTGGAAACAGATGTTAACTTGAAAATATATAAAATATGGAAACCCTGAAAACAGATGTTAACTTGAAAATATATAGAATATGAAAACTCTGAAAACAGATGTTAACTTGAAAATATATAGAATATGGAAACTCTGAAAACAGATGTTAACTTGAAAATATATAAAATATGGAAACCCTGAAAACAGATGTTAACATGAAAATATATAGAATATGGAAACCCTGAAAACAGATGTTAACTTGAAAATATACAGAATATGGAAACCCTGAAAACAGATGTTAACTTGAAAATATATAGAATATGGAAACTCTGAAAACAGATGTTAACTTGAAAATATATAGAATATGGAAACCCTAAGAACAGATGTTAACTTGAAAATATATAAAATATGGAAACCCTGAAAACAGATGTTAACTTAAAAATATATAAATATGGAAACCCTGAAAACCGATTTTAACTTAAAAATATATTGAATATGGAAACCCTGAAAACAGATGTTAACTTGAAAATATATAAAATATGGAAACCCTGAAAACAGATGTTAACTTGAAAATATATAAAATATGGAAACCCTGAAAACAGATGTTAACTTAAAAATATATAAATATGGAAACCCTGAAAACCGATTTTAACTTAAAAATATATAGAATATGGAAACCCTGAAAACAGATTTTAACTTGAAAATATATAAAATATGGAAACCCTGAAAACAGATTTTAACTTGAAAATATATAGAATATGGAAACCCTGAAAACAGAGCTCAATTTAAAAATATGTAAAATATGGAAACCCTGAAAACAGATCTAAACTTAAAAATATATAGAATATGGAAACCCTAAAAACAGATCTCAACTTTCAATATTTAAATTCTAGAGAATCAGAAGAAGTTTGATAAAACAAAGCTTTTAATTGTACCTAGTGAATCGGACAGTGCCATCTTTGCACGGAGGGTCACTTGAAATTACGCTTTCAGTCCCTTTAAACATTTAAGCACTGTGACGGGTCTAATATCTACAAAGAACCCATTTACAAAATTGATTAATATTTTTTAGAAAAGGCTTTTAGATGAACCTCGAGAAATGAAATGCATTAGTTTTATTCATGAAAGAATCTGTTTCAGCATTTCAGTAAAATAAATGCATTTATGCATACCTTTTTTATCATTTTTATAAAAAAATTCAATTTCAATTTTTCCAACGTTAAGATGCAAAAACTACACCATTAGCTCACTTTGAAATAATAGTTTTTTCAACTTTAAAAAAATAGTTTATGCTTTAAACAGACGCGGTTCGCCCTACCATATGATTATACATGCTTTGCAGACGGGTACTACATTTGAATAAGCTATATTTGTCTGATATACAATTACCGCGTATACAATAACCTATTTTGAATATTTTTTGTACAAATGGAGTACCCGTCTGCAAAGCACGCATAATCATATGGTAGGCCGCGTCAGTTATATCTCCCTTCTCTTCCTTACTCCCTGACCCTACTCCATGCAGGGATTGCAAGATATGTAAAATCATTTAAAGCTTAAAAATTTAAAATCATATAAAATCATTAAAAATAAATGGTACGTTAAAGACATATTGGATCGTTTATTTTAAAGCCGTGTTTACATAGCAGAACTTAAAATCGGGCATTCTACTGAATTTTTTTTTCTGAAAACTTATAATATTTTTTTGGTTTACAGTCACGGTTTTTATTGTTACATAATGATAATTTGAAAATCTTTATACAATTTTCAGATATTTTAAATACTTTTACATTTTATATATTTTTATGCGCATAAACTGGACCNCCCCCCCGCCTTTTCATGTTCCCGGGTGGAGCAGTAATTTCCCCATTCATTAGATTAACATTTTGCAGATATTCTATTCGACCAAACAAATACAGAGCTAACCATTATAAAAAATATAACTTGATAACTTTGGTTTAAGCTTGTTATAATATTAAATCTGTTACTACTTAACTTTGGTTTAAAGCTTTTAATAATAATAAATCCGTTACTTGATAACTTTGGTTTTAAACTTGTAATAATAATAAATTTGTTACTTGATAACTTTGGTTCGAAACTTGTAATAATAATAAATCTGTTACTTGATAACTTTGGTTTAAAACTTGTAATAATAATAAATCTGTTACTTGATAACTTTGGTTTAAAACTTGTAATAATAATAAATCTGTTACTTGATAACTTTGGTTTAAAACTTGTAATAATAATAAATCTGTTACTTGATAACTTTGGTTCGAAACTTGTCATAATAATAAATCTGTTGCTTGATGTTTCCTAACAAAATTTAACGAAAGATTAAATATTTAGAAAAATAATGCCTGGTGAATACTTTCAATAACTTTTCTCGAGGTTAGTAAAAACAACAAATCATTTTTTAAAATTTTATTTAAGAAATATTAAAATATTCCTAAAAATTCTCAAGGTCAAATTTTCTAAGTAGTCCGTATTCTTGCATGTTATATATATATAATTGTTTAAAATTAATACAATATAAGTGAGTTAATTTTCAATTTTTGGACAATTTAGAGTTTTGCGAAATAGCGTCTTTTCTCTTTAATGAAGAACGTATTTTGTTGTTAGGGCGGGGAGTTATCTATCCATTTAGTTCTCACGTCCTTTCTCCGGGTCCGCTTAGTAGCAGAAGCGATATTCTTTACAGGAAAGGAGGGAGATCTACCGAGGATTTGCCGGTCAGTGTGATTCCCAGCCCGCACAGGTAGATGCGCTTATATAGGATTGTGTTTCATGTTTTCATTTTTTACGATTTTGAATCAGATTTTAAATCAGATTTTGAATCAGATTTTCAGTTTTTCATCTTCTTGCAGTTTGAAGTACGGACAATGTGGGGTTTAGTTCTCCTACTCCACGGAGTATCAGCTATGTCGGATCCACTTCTCTCCGAGGAAACCAAAACCAGGAGAACCCTCTCCAGGTTCAAGATAGACAATCCAGACAACAAGATCTGCTGGGAGAGGTCAGTAGATAGATAGATAGATAGATATATAGATAGATATATAGATATAGAATTGATAGATATATAGATATATAGATATAGAATAGATGGATAGATAGATAGATAGATAGATATATATATAGATATAGAATAGGTATAAAAGTAAAGAAAAAGGTTAATGTTTAGATAAATAAATTGATAGATAAGATATAGAAATATATTTATAGATTTCTATTTTTCAATTTTCAATATTTTAGGCATGGAGTTGATGGTTTTATTAGTGTTATCGATACTCACAACCACTTCAGGTGATATCATTGGTTCTGGTAGTTTTCAGGTGATATCATAGGTTCATGTAGTTTTCAGGTGATATCATTGGTTCAGGTAGTTTTCAAGTGACGTCATAGGTTCAGGTAGTTTTCACTTGATGTCATAGGTTCAGGTAGTTTTCAGGTGATATCATTGGTTCAGGTAGTTTTCAGATGATATCATTGGTTCAAGTAGGGTTCAAGTGATATCAATCATTGGTTCATCTAGTTTTCAGGTAATATCATTGGTTCAAGTAGTTTTCAGGTAGTTTTCAGGTGATATCATTGGTTCACGTAGGGTTCAAGTGATATCATTGGTTCATCTAGTTTTCAGGTAAAATCATTGGTTCAAGTAGTTTTCAGGTAGTTTTCAGGTGATATCATTGGATAAGGTAGTTTTCAGGTAATATCATTGGTTAAGGTAGTTTTCAGGTAATATCATTGGTTAAGGTAGTTTTTAGGTGATATCATTGGTTCCAGTAGGGTTCAAGTGATATCATTGGTTTAGGTAGTTTCATCCTTGCATGGTTGTCTAATCCCAACTATATTATTATTAGTAAATAGAACTGTTTTTGTAAATTTGTCAGTACTAAGTAATATTTTTGAGAAATCATAGGATGAATGAGATTAACCTTTAAAACAAGAAATGTAAATAAATAAAAAAAAAAACTTTAAAAATTACAGAAATTGGTGTCTGGTTCTACTGGAACTGGTAAATATAAAACTAAATGAAATAAGTTAGAATGTTGAAAAGAAATAAATTCCTAAGTTTATTTGTTCACAACATTTTCCCATTCTTTAAATATTTCCTCTCTTGTACTGCAAGTGCAAATCAAACTTTATTTGTTAACACAGACATCATGATTTTATTTTTATCATTGGACCTAAAATTTTACTTAATCATTTTTTTAAATAGATAAATAAATAAATAAATAATGATTTATCATTCACAAATAAGAATAAAACAAGCAAATTATTGGTTAAGCAGTCTCTGAATAAATAGAATTGCAGATTTAATATATTTTTTTCTGTCCTGGTATAATTGACATAATACTGCTCCTGGTGGCGTAGTTTGTTTTCATGTGGGTGAACTGGAGCAGGGAAGAGATGACGATGTTTAGAAGATTTAATACATTTCTTTGCAAAAGAGAGGGATAGCTTGTCCCTTCTTGACTCCAGGGTCTCCAGTTTACAGGACTCCAATGCACTTATATATTCGACATAATCTTTGCCCAGAATAATTTCTAGGCAAACTCTCTGTATCCGTTCAAGGGCATTGTTTTGGTCAACTTAATTATTCGACTTAAACCTGAAATTTAAACTTTGTTTACATTACTCGACTTTAACCTAGAATTTAACTTAATTACTTGACTTAAACCTGAAATTTAAACTTTATTATTTGACTTAAACCTGAAATTTAAACTTTATTATTTGACTTAAACCTGAAATTTAAACTTTATTATTTGACATAAACCTGAAATTTAAACTTTATTATTTGACTTAAACCTGAAATTCAACTTTATTATTTGACTTAAACCTGAAATTCAACTTTATTATTTGACTTAAACCTGAAATTTAAACTTTATTATTTGACTTAAACCTGAAATTTAAAATTTATTATTTGACTTAAACCTGAAATTTAAACTTTATTATTTGACATACACATCATATTTTCCAGTACTGTACATGCAGTCTCCATCTGTTTACTTTGCGCTTTATAGACAATAAAAAATATTTAAAATTTAATTTAATATATTTTCAGTTTATATTTAACATGGTATTATATTACAGACCTGTGTCTTCAATATCATTTTACATTTGTGTTGTGAAGACAAACTTCATGCTAAGACAATCTTTTTCTTTTTGCATATTTTAGAAATAAATGAACATTGAAAAATTGCAAAAGTTGTAGGCAGGACATTAAAGGGACTCTCGACGAAATTTATTTCAAGTGACCCTCCCCTGAAAGAGTTACATACCCGATTCACAACGGTATCCACCTTATATCTGAATGTAATATCTGAATGATTTGATTGAAATTAAGTTTTTCTACGATCTGAGTCGTATATTGCTACGTCCTACATTAAAAGTCGCTTTTATCAATTTTCTCCTCATAGACGCAACAGATAGAAGTTAGATTAACACCGATCAAAAACGATTATTTTTCGTTTTTCGCTTTACCCCCTTTCATTTTTCGTGAACACTCCCTTCTTAAAGTAGAAAAACAAAAATATCTTCCCAATTGGTTCTGAGATAAAGATGTAAAGGGGGGTCACTAGAAAGTACAGTTCTTTTTAAACACGAGGGAATTTAATCTACGGTTTGACATCTTAAACAAAGAGATCGTTCTAACAATTTTTCTTGAAAAACATTTATGAATTTGATACCCATAGGGGCGCAGCAGAATGAACAATTTACAGCGCGTTGAAATTACAGATTTGTAAATAATTGATTAAAAGTCCTTTTGGAATAAAAATTGGGTTCAACATGAATATTGGAAAGTGTTTTTTTGTGGTGCACTATATATATCAATAAACAATTTTCAGAGTCCTCAGGATCAGGGAAAACAATTGTCTGCGATCTAAGGAATCGAGTCTTTGTCTCAAATTCTGATTTTTTAACCCTTCATCTTTACAACCCAATGTCGTAAACCTTAGATATTAAAAACTATGAAATCTGTTAGGTTAAGTATTCTAAGTCTTTTACCATCAGGTTGCAGAGATATAGGGATCAGAAAATTTTAGTTTGTGACAAAGACTCAATTCCTTTTCGTTTAAAGAAGATGGAAAAATCTATTGCAGTCAGAGATAAAAGAAAAATAATAAAAACCCAGCCAAATAAATACTCCTTTACGCGTACTTTGCGTGATATCAACATAAAACATGAACCGTGAAAAACAATATGATCGATAAAAATCGTAAAAACCCTAATCCCGGTTTTTTCGGACACAGTCTCTATCTTTGAGAATTTTTCTTTAACAGACCAATACATGAATCATGTATCTTATTCATTTATTGTATCCGTGACACCATATGTTCATGTACTCTGTATTGTATCCATGTATTCTGCATTGTATCCATGTATTTATCCTGTACTGTATCCATGTATCCTCTATTGTATCTGTATACCCATGTATCCATGTATCCTGTATTGTATCTGTATACCCATGTATCCATGTATCCTGTATTGTATCTGTATATCCATGTATCCATGTATCCTGTATTGTATCTGTATACCCATGTATCTATGTATCCTGTATTGTATCTATATATCCATGTAACCATGTATCCTGTATTGTATCTGTATATCCATGTATCCATGTATCCTGTATTGTATCTGTATATCCATGTATCCATGTATCCTGTATTGTATCTGTATATCCATGTATCCATGTATCCTGTATTGTATCTGTATATCTATGTATCCATGTATCCTGTATTGTATCTGTATATCCATGTATCTATGTATCCTGTATTGTATCTGTATATCCATGTATCCATTACAACACTGAGTGCTAAATCTCTTGCTGAGTTCTTCTCTGCAATGTATGCTAATGTTTGTTTAGACTTTATAGTTCTCTTATATAAATATATATATATAATATAATAATAATATTATCATAGTAATAATAAATGTATTGTATATATGTTATATATTATATTCTGCCCAGTAATAATCCTCAGATTACAGTGTAGAAGTTGTCTGTTTACATATAAACTTAAAATATTTATTTTAGACCTTTTGGCGGCCCTCCCGTTCCTTTCTTTGAATACCTTCAGTGGATGATAGATCATGGTCTACTCTTCTCAACCATGTTTGGTATTGGACAGCTACTGGAGAAGGTTGGGAAGGATTATATATTTCTCTAACTCCGGGTCTAAACTATTTCCCGGAGCTAAGAACTCATAAAATTGGATTAAGAAGATACTAAGCAAGTTTTCATTTAGTCTTTTCTAACCATCATGATGATAAAATATTAAACGTTGGCAGTAATTCTCTCAAAACCAAAAAACCAAGGTCAGAAGAAATTTCCGGAAAGGAATTGAGTTTTGCCACAAACTCTGATTTTCCTATCCCTATATATTTACAACTCAAAGTCGTAGACCTTAGATATTTCAAACTTTGAATATCAAAGGTTTACACCATCTGATTGCAAAGAAATACGGAATCGACAATTTGAGCTTGTGGCAAAGACTCAATTTCAATCCAATCAACTTAGAATTTTTAAACCGCACTGAGAATATTTTCGTGGTTAATTATACCAAGTTTCCCAAACAAAATGATATGATAATCGGTCTCTGGGTTAATGAGTTATGATCGTACAATTAGACAGACAGACGAACAGAGAATAGCCTGAAATTCCTCCTGACGTTGGTTTTTAGGTTTGTAAAGAATGCTTACGTCTTTTTGTAGGATTAACCATTATTTTTAAATAGTTTCTTAAATTTACAGCTTTAAACAAGGTAGTAATACAAGGAAAGTAAATTGCGGTCGCGTATACTCTGCGTACATATTGAAACCAGTTTTCTCTGGGCGGAATTTGTAAACAAGAATAGATGTATCAGTGTTCGTTTAGTATCCGAGGAGGATAAAAGCATTTAATTTAGATCATTTTGATAATACACATAATAGTTTCCTATGTCCAGAATATTTCATAGATTATTTTTGTGTAAATTGATTCCCATGTCAGGCTGTCTTGTGTTTACTTTTCCGCCCAAAGACAGTACACTGCAGTGCAAAAAACGCGTACACCACTGAAATAACTTTCCTTGCATTAGTTCTTTGGCTTTGAAAAAGTATCTACTGAATGATTTTGTATTTTTTTTTTGTGGATTTTTCTATCTTTTAACTAAATGAAAAAAACACCCTGTAGAATGAGATGGAATTTAGTTTTGGCTAACTTCAACTGCAACTTTTAAATTTAGGAGTTGTTATTTTCAATTAATAAAATAAATAATAAAAATGTATGCAGAGGAACCAGGATGATCCTGATTGTTGTTATTATCTTCACTGCCCAACCCTGAACTACACTGTGGTTCCAAACCCGGAGAATGATCGGTTAAATGCAGAGGATTTTACTAAAAAATATAAGGTATTCATCTTACCCTGATATCAGATATTCATCTAACCATGATATCAGGTATTCATTTAACCCTGATATCAGATATTCATCTAACCCTGATATCAGATATTCATCTAACCCTGATATCAGATATTCATCTAACCCTGATATCAGGTATCTTATATGTATCGTTCAACTCCTGAGATTCTCAGGTTTCAGCCTATACCCCCTTTAATTTTTCCTTTACAGTCCCTTTAATAATTAATAAAGATCAGTGGAGATTACGACAACAATCCCTTTAAATAAAAATATAATCGAACAGTTACTCGACTGCCTTTTTTTCGCGAACACTTCCTTTAATGACTCTGTAAATATATACAGCAGCAGCATAATTAGGGCTAAAACTAGTCAGCAGTATACTGCAAGATTAGACAGTACATAGAAGAATATTTTCTAAAAAGTCTAAAAATATTATTTTATTTAGTAATATTGCCTGCAGGGTTGCATGTTAAATTTGATGTTTATAATGATATTTAATATTTTATAAAAAACTGTATTTGTTTAACAGGGTAACAGTAGTTTAGAGGATACTATACATCTCCTATTGTCTGTAACCTTCCCCAACCTGCAGAAACCAGAGAAAATATCTAAAAACTTTAACGAGCTCGAGCACACCTTCCCAAACGCGTTTCGGTGGGCCGGGGAGATAAACGTGTTCAAGCACGCCCTGGCCAGCAACGGGTTCTTCGACCAGGAGAGGGTTACGGAGAAGATGATAGAGGCAGGACGATTGGATAAACTATTCAATACTCTCTCAGATAAGAAGTGGCCGACCACGCTCCATTCAGACCTGGGCTGCGATAACTATGACGATGTGCCGGTCAACATTGATCCAAGAAATAGTCTTTCAGGTGATTTCTTTAGATAACATATCCATGGACAGGGAAAATATCTCAATTTTTTTGCACAGTATTTAATATCGAGGATCCTATAGGAACAGTATTTACATATCGAGGATCCTATAGGAACAGTATTTACATATCGAGGATCCTATAGGAACAGTATTTACATATCGAGGATCCTATATGAACCGTATTTACATATCGAGGATCCTATAGGAACAGTATTTACATATCGAGGATCATATAGGAACATTATTTACATATCGAGGATCCTATAGGAACAGTATTTACATATCAAGGACCCTATATGAACATTATTTATTATCTAGGATCCAATGGGAACAGTATTTACATATCGAGGATCCTATTGGCACAATACTTGTATCTAGGATCATATAGGAACAGTATTTACTATTTAGAATCCTGTAGGAACATTATTTACATATCGAGGATCCTATAGGAACATTATTTACTATCTATGATCCTAAAGAACAGTGTTTACTATCTAGGACCCTATAGGAACATTATTTACTATCTAGCATCCTATAGGCACAGTATTTACTATCTAGGCCCCTATAGGAACAGTATTTACTATATATATAATCTTTAGTAACAGTATTTTCTATCTATAACCCAATAGGAACAATTTTAACTATCTAGGATCCTAAAGGAACAATATTTACAATCTAGGATCCTATAGATACAGCATTTAATATCTATAGATCCTATAGGAACAGTATTTACTATCTAGGACCCAATAGGAACAATATTTACTATTACGATAGGAACAACATTTCTATCTACGATCCTATAGGAACAGTATTTACTTTCTAGGATCAAATAGGAACAGTATTTACTATCTATGATCCTATAGGAACAACTTATACAAAAGAATTAAATTAGAGCAGAGCGATTCATAATTTCAAATTGAAAAAAAAAATATCGTTAGTTTCCTTTTTTCTGTTGTCTCTGAGAACCCCCATTAAACTACAGAATTCATATTATCTGTTCTGTTTCCCCCACATTAATATGATTTATATATTTGTAGTTGTCAGCTCCAGTTTTTCAAATTAGAGAAATTTAAAAACCTTATCTAGCCAGCTTTCTCTTTTCAAGCTTCCAGACTATATTTCCCCGAGAGAAGAATATCTGAACCATCAGCTAGAAACTTAAAACATTAAAATATTTTTCTTTTCCGTCCTGCTCCGGTCTCAATCCGTTCTGCAGTTCTTTAATAAACCTTTCTTTGTCAATAGATTAAACAACCTTTCTTCTTTCCTGTCCTAATCCTTGTCAGTAGTTTACTAAACCTTTCTTCTATTACTGTCCTAATCCTTGTCATAGTTTACTAAACATACCTCTGTCAACCATTAACATTAAGACCCCCCCCCCTTTTATGTAATGTCGTCTTCAACTTAAATGCTCCTCTCGGAGACGAGAATCCAAACCAAACAATTTCAGCCCGCTTTTCTTCTTTGTTCTCTGATAACGGAGTATAAACGTTTATCAATTGTGAACCATTTCAAAGTTAAACAAGAACATTTCTATTTAAAGAATTAGTGACTTTCATCAACATTTAATTGTTAATCTTTTCAGAAGTTTTAATGTATAAAAAGCGTCTTCGGACTTTTCGACAGATAACCCCCGAATAGGCAAATAGATCGTAAGAATCTTTTCATTATAAATTTGTAAACCCTGTAATAATTATTTATCATTATTCATTTCATTATTTTTTTAGGAAATAAAGAGTTTTCTGCATTATCGATTTTGATTTGTGGGTTATACCTTGTCTATCTGTTCATCGTCAGAATCTTGTTCCTTAGCGACAACAACCTCTTATTCCTGTCCTAATCCTTGTCAGTAGTTTACTAGACATACATATTATTCCTGTTCTAATCCTTGTCAGTAGTTTACAAAACCTATCTTCTATTCCTGTCCTAATCCTTGTCAGTAGTTTACAAACCTTTCTCTTATTCCTGTCCTAATCCTTGTCAGTAGTTTACAAACCTTTCTTCTATTCCTGTCCTAATCCTTGTCAATAGTTTACAAACCTTTCTCTTATTCCTGTCCTAATCCTTGTCAATAGTTTACAAAACCTATCTTCTATTCCTGTCCTAATCCTTAAACATTAGTTTACTAAACCTTTCTTCTATTCCTGTCCTAATCCTTGTCAGTAGTTTACTAAACCGTTCTCCTATTCCTGTACTAATCCTTGTCAGTAGTTTACTAAACATTTCTTTAATTCCTGTTCTAATCCTTGTCAGTTGTTTTCTAAACCTTTCTTCTATTCCTGTCCTAATCCTTGTCAGTAGTTTACTAAACCTTTCTCCTATTCCTGTCCTAATCCTTGTCAGTAGTTTACTAAACCTTTCTCCTATTCCTGTCCAAAAAGTAAAAACAAAATGATATAATTTATAATAAAAGATAATTTAAAATTTGAAAAAATCTGATGATTTAAAAAGTTTATTTCGATATGCCAGCTGCGAAAAATTTTACATTTACTTTTGACGTTAAAAGATAATTAAACAATCAATTTAATGGGGAATTGTATCCATTTAATGCTAATTTTTGGCTTTTTATTATCAAAAACTTATTAGTTTTCATCAAAATCGACTCAAAGACGACTTTCACAGAAACAAACCTTTGTACAAGATTTGTCCTCACTTGTTTTGGACTAAAAAGAGATCTAATCGTTGAATTAACAGAAATTTGTCTGTTAGAGAAAAATATTTTAACCTATTTTAACCTATTTTTAGACTACCCCTTGAATACACCCTGAATATTTGAAATTTAATTTAAATCAAATAGTCTACGTTTGAAATATCAAAAGTTTACACCATCAGGTTGCAAAAATAAAGGAATAAGAAAATTTGTGTTTGTGGCAAAGACTCAATTCCTTTGCACTTCTCCTTCTGAGTATCTAACATATAAAGTTATATATTTTAACTTATAAAGTTATGATATATAACCCCTTGACAGATTTGCTTTAAATTTTGATTGAGGAACTTGGGAGACACACAGGAATGTTCTTAGCATAGAGAATAGAATATATAGAGAGAAATTAAAAGAATCTCTCGGTATGAATTTGTTCAGTCCCTTTCAGCCTGAAAGGGAGTTCAAAGTGTACAAATCATCTAAATGTGCACAAATTATATGCAGTAGAGTACATTAATACGGTATGTTGCCTATACTATCCATTTCAATTTCGAATTTTTAAAACTTTTAAATAAACTTTATAATGAATTAGGTGAATAAAAACATCATTTGATTTATAGTTATAACGGAAAATCATCGTTTGTAAAGTGGAAGGCATAGAGTCTATGAGAAATGATCATTGGTCAATTATGAAACCAGCCTATTTCATAATTTGGTTTTCTTTTAACAATAATTTTAGATTTTCTATAAAATGATATTCCAGGGCCCAACAGGTTATATAGCATAAATATGTGAAGTACACCTGCAGTATGGAAACAGTACAACAAAATGGCCGTTTTACACTTTTTTCTAGTAAATTCCTCTCTATATATTCTATTCTCTATGGTTCTTAGCTTGGTTTTGAGATTCTAAGTTGAGCTGGTCCAATCGTAAATCGTAATTTATGAGTAAAGTACCCTGGGCAACACTGGGTTCTCAAGTTATGAGTGTATTCACTCTGTCTGAAATAAATAAAGAATAAGAGGAGAGAAGGGAAAAAAGTGAGTTAGGAGAATAATTGAAAATAGATCATGCAGAAAATTCGACGAGTAAGACAAGGACAAATAAAGGACTGGGCACGGCGGGGTATTTTAGAGGTACAGGGGGGGGGGGTGTGACTAGTTTTGTAACAATACAAATCTTAAAACTCATTTGTCTTGTGTTTCATGGTGAGAATGCACAAAATGAATATATTCTGATAATCTTTTCATCTACAAACATTGTATCAATTGTATCTTGCATTGATTTATATTTATTTTAATTTATAATTACATTTCCAGTTTATATATTTATCCTTGAATGGATCCTGTAAACCCGCAATATATTTAGATGTCGTCTTTGTTACATCGATCTATTTCGAAAGAAAAACACATACTTATTAGCTTATTTGCCCAAAATTACAACGGATTCAGGATAATACAGATATTTATAAATAGATTATAACAAACATTAATCAAAGATGTAGGGGCGGCACAAGCTCGCCCAACTATTGGTTTGGGCTCTGATTCGAGTATATAATACCCATTTTAAGAGTTTTCACGGAAATTATCAGTGAAATTATCTTCAATTGTTGACTCTGCTATAGTTCGAGCTAAAGCTATACCTAGGGAAGTTGCTTTAAAGAAAGTGGAGAAAAGGAGAAACCAGATCGAGTTATATTCTCCATCTCATTTAATCCCCAGCTGCCTTGTGTCTCCTCCATCATACAGAAACATTGGAGAACCATGGTTCAGGATCCTTGGATGAAGGAGGTTTTTCAAAATCCACCTATGGTTACCTATAGGAGACCTCCTAATCTTAGGGATAAACTATCCGAGCCAGAATTCCAGATCCTCCTAGAATGAGGCCAAAGAGGCTAATACCTGGTATGAAACCTTGTGGTTAAATTTGCCCAACTTGTCCCTACATAGAGCCTGGAACAGTTATACAATCCTCTAATACCAGCAAGAAGATTGAGATTAATGGAACTTTCAACTGTAAGACCAGAAATGTAGTTTACTGTATAANATCAAGCTTTATTGGGATGGTAAGGTCCAACAGTAAGGTTCCCTGCTTTAGACTTTGGTAGATTTAAAATATATGATATAGAGCAGGACGGATATATTCTATTACAAAATATATGATATAGAGCAGGACGGATATATTCTATTACAAAATATATGATATAGAGCAGGACGGATATATTCTATTACAAAATTTAAATTTCTGTTTAAATTGAAATAATGTTTGAAACAAAAAGTTTTGATTTTATTTAATATTTCAAATATTAGGTAGATACAATATACCAAATACAAGATAAATCCGACATATTGGATTATTTAAAAACAGTACTTTTGGATGGGGTTTTGTGATTTTCTTTGGTTTATTTTAAAATCATAAATATTCTTGTTAGCTTGGACTTTGTGCTTTTAAGATGTCAATATTTGAATTTGATATATAATCTTTAAGTTCACACACTTAACGCTCCCATAAAAATTGAAATGTACTGATACTGATACTGATACTGATGCTGATACTGATACTGATACTAAAACATGTTTACTCTCGTTTTTAATTCGCAAAATGTAGTCTGATGTTGCTTTAAATTATCGCAATAACACAGAGAAATGATTGCTAAACAAAAACAATTTTTATACTATAAATATTTTTGTTGCTAAGGGGGTACAGGGAAAAACAGTAAGTATTTGTAATCTGAAGAAAGATAAGTATGCCTGTTAATCCTTCCTATATATATTTTTTCAGGCTGCGAGATACCAACAGAGGAGTTAAGAGCAGCTTCACAAAACCATGGTTGGTGGAAGGATATGTTGGAAGTTTATTATCATTCATTCTTCGATAAACAAAACAAACCCAGAACGACCTTCTCCAAGGTTCAGCATCTCAAGGTTTGGGACACCCTGCTCTCCAGGTATAAAAACTTAACAGTGGTTTGGGCTCATCTTGGATTATCGAAAGAACTGCGTGATCTTCATCCCAATATTCACGCGCATATTCTCCGTAAACTCTTCCAACGTCATGACAACCTACATGCGGACGTATCCTGGGACGTTCTCGCCAAGCAGAACCTTATGAACCACGACGGTAGCAAGAAGGTCTCCGACCTCCACACAGATACACACACAGACTTTAACGAGGACGTGGAGTTCCTCTTCAACAGCTCTGATGTAGATCAGATCAGAGAGGATCTTCACCAGACCTGGATGGTTCATGAAGGTTTGGTGCGGAGCAAGGGATCAGTGACTGGTCCAACTCATTCTATGGCGATATACCTGGAACTGTTCCATGAGTATCCGGATAGATTCCTCACAGGAACAGACTTTGTAGCCTCCCTGGGTCAAAAGCATCTGTATCCTGGAACCATGAACAAGAACGGATGCATGAAGGATATTCCCAACCATGCTCGTCAGCTCACGGATACAAGTTCGATCAACATGTTTTTCGATGACGAAACCTTCAGGAAAATAGTTCTTGGAGAGAATTTCTTCCGAATAACTCAGCTGTCGGATATCTACGCTGCTCCACCTGTATGCGGAGACTCGGTAAGGAATTATTCACAATTAGATAATGATTATCTTCGAATTATTTCCTAAAAGTTCAAATTTGATCCAACCCCAAATTACTATGGTATTGGGACATTTCATAGAAAGGCATTTCAAAGATGGACATTTCATAGATTGGAAATTCCTATCTATAAAATGTCCTATCTATGAATTTATTTTCTATGAAATGTATTATTTCTGAAATCTCCTGTCTCTGAAATGTCCTTACCATGATTTTGATATCTATGAAATGTCCATCTATAAAATGTCTTAACATGAAATGTCCCAACACCATAGTTATACTGCATAAATGCCTACTACTTTTTTTATGGAATCCTGAAGAAAATTAAGTTGTTTTCTTGAAATTCTCTGATAAGTTTGAGATATGAAGATTTCCCTCTAGTGACTCCAGTCATCGTAAAAACTTTCATTAATTCTCGGGAAAGTTTTCATATTCTGTCTGCAGTAGAAGATCTTTCCATTTTCTTAAAACTTTTCTTAGTTTAAATCCGAACTTTTTCTTTACAAAACATGCTTGTTGTTTCAATTATAGCTTTACAAATTTTACAAATTTTACTAATTTTACAAATTATAAATCGACAAATCTGATTTTTACAGTTTCTCCTGCTAGTAATGATATTAACCCGATAAGTGGAGAATGCAGAGGACAATGTAATAAAGCAAAACAATACCTTATTCGAGGAGTTTGTCAATAAAATCTAGATACGAATGCTTTATCTTTGAATTCTTTATATTCAAGGCTACACAATTATAAGTGAGCGACATTTCCTAAGTCTGAAAGATGCACCTTTTTTACAAATTAACCTGATTGTGAGTTAAGTTTCTCTGACGATGACTTTACCTTATAGAAACACAAAGAAACCGCTAGTTATAGCAACAAGGCGTATTTTGCGGGAGAATATTTTTTTATATTTTAGAGAAATTAAACTTGCTTGTAAAATATTGTCGCTCAACATTATTATCATTTTTTTTTAACATACCCTGGACATTAAAGGAGCGAACACGTTTAATGATTTACAATGTTATTATTTTGATTTGGTACAGCAAACTTTCTCGGGGCCGGACCCTAACTGACTGAGCACTTGCAGTACGTTGTTGACACAAAACATACAGACAAGAAAATGCCGGCGGAACATTATGCATGTCAGGGAAAATTTATTTTTCTCAGAAATATACAGTGCTCTCCAAAATAAATGGTAAATGAAGTCGACTTTTCAAATATTGTTGTGTAAATGAACACAACTTCTCGTAAATGAAATGGTAAATAATTAAAACAACTTCTCGTTAATATACAGTGCTTCTCAAAATAAAATGGTAAAGGAACAAAACTTCTTCACAAAAATACAGTGCTCCCTACAATAAAATTGTGGATGAAGACATCGTCTCATAAATATACAGGACAGCAAGTCCTTTTCCATAATCAAAATGTCGTCTTTATTTTACCCTTCATTCTTTGTACCACTGAAATCTTTCGTACTTAATATCATCTTCATTTTACAGTTTAGTCTGAAAACAACAGAACGTGTTTATTTTCCACTTTATTCTGGGGACCACTGCGTTTACGGCAAAATGTCGTCTTCATTTTCCATTTCATTAAGAGGACTACTGCATTTTTGTTAAAATGTCGTCTTCATTTATCACATTCACAAGTTCGTTGAAAGGAAACGGCCTCTTTACCCCGTTTTTTTATGTCCAACGTCGTCTTCATGTGTACTGCTCTGCTTAGTGTTTAAGGTCGCCCCCCGGATTTTATCATGTACTGACAACATAAATGAATGCTTATGGTTACATAAAAGTCTATGTTACTTTTTTTTAAACGAGTATATAAAAATTATGTCTACAGTTTTATTTTTACCAAAATTTTTACCAAATTATTTCTCAAAATTCTAAAAGACTAATTTCTCCAGTAATGCTATTATGCTTTCATAAAATTCCGTGTTACCATTTAAATATAAGGATTTTTTAAAATGATATCTACAATTTACACTAATTATTTTTCTACAATATAAAAAATATTCTCCCGCAAAATACGCCTTTTTGCTATAACTAGAGGTTTCTATACGTTGTGTTTCTATAAGGTTGGACTCCAAGTCCATGTAAGGAGTATTCTTCCACGACTTTTTATCGCTTAAACTTGGCAGACAGAAACTATAGAATCCTGGATCCAATCTTTTTAAAATAGAAATCCCTCCAGAGTCGGCAAACTTTTGGTTGAAGTAAAGCTAATCTTTTTCCGCTAAAAAATTAAATGAAATATAACATCTAAACTTATGATTGATTTATCTCATGCGGTTCCCCCGAAACGGTTTAGATTAACCTCTCTTTAATCAATTAAAAGTTCTCGGCTTAGAACCAAACCAAACCTTGCTTTGTATTCCAGGTACTCCCTCTGGAGGCAGTGATCGGTATCGGAGTTGGAGTAGGAGTTCTAGTTCTGGTTCTTCTCCTGGTCCTTATCTATGTACTGTGCGCCAGGGGCAGGGATGGAGGAACCAACTTCTCCAGGAAAATATAATTAAATATGAAATTATTTAATTTTAGAATATTAGGATCTAAATCTAAAACAGAGAACAAGAGTTCTCAGACTTCATTGAAGTCAGAATTTCAAAGTTTATATTTCTACTTAATTTTTATAGAATTCTTTAAAAGTAATGGCATATAGCCTAATTTTTGAAATTGCACCTTGAAGCATTGTGAATGAAACTATGATCACAACTGCTGAACCCCTTTACGACAAAGTAATTGAGTCTTTGTAACAAATTCTGATTTTCTAAAACCCTAATTTTTTCCACCTGATGGTGTAAACCTTTGATATTTTAAGCTTAGATTCTGTCATCTATCTGAATTCATAGTTTGAAATATCTAACGTCTATGGCATTGGGTTGCAAAGATATAGAGATTAGAAAATCATAGTTGGTGACAAAGACTCAATTCTTTTAGTTTTGATTGTTCGTTTCCTTGTTTTTAAGGAATAACAAAATATCCAAGGGCGGTTTTAGGATTTGAAATAGAGGGGGGGGAGGGTAAAAAGTGTATTTGCGCCAATTTTACCTCCCCCCCCCCTGTAATCTTATAAAAAGTATTCCCCCCCTTTATTGCTAAAAAGTTCAATTTACCGCCCTAACCCTACAAAAATTACAGTTTCTATATAGTACAGGGTAGGTAAATGAAAAGTAGGGGAAAAATTAATTTAAAATTATATAAATATTGACAGAGTAAACGAGAACCAGAACGCTGCCACTACAAATGTTTAAACTAAGTTCAACGCTGGCTTTCATTATCAACACGTGTCTAATTCGGCTTTCAGTACACGTGTCAGTACACGTTTCAGCACACGTTTTTCCGACCATCTTTTACCAGGATATATTATATAAATATTATATATATAAGTATCACATACTTTTAAACATACTTTTGATAGACATCTATGCTTGAACACTCTTTAAATATTTTATCTCTAGTCAATATAAAGTATTTCTCGGTTATGTTTTAGACCAATTTACATGTACATTGTACATAATGAGATCTTCTACTGTGGAGTTTGCAGTACAGTTTGTAGTTTGTAAAATGTACAATGTATATACATAATTCAAGAGAATCGACAACAAAAATTCAATTATCATTGAAAATATATCAGTAGATTTAAATCAACTTCATCTATGAGAATTTAAAATTTTAAACATGTTGTATTGCAATTCAAATTTTTAACACAGGAAAGCATGAAAACGACGTGGTGTTGTTGTGAAAAATTGGACGTCATTTGTCTCTCGATTCTTTATTAGAAATAGACCATTTACAACTCTTCTTAGCACTTTCTCAGATTTAAATAGACTTTTTACCCCTCTTCATCCTTAGGTTAAAATGTTTCTGTATTTTGTCATACATGGAGTAACTTAAACGCCGTAATTTCACATGCTAATTCATCCAAGGAAACCGCACTGTGTTTTGTTACTTTAGGATCTTAATATAAGTCTCGTTAATGGACAGAGAAAATATAACAACCAAAAATATAACAACCAAAAATATAACCACCAAAAATATAACAACCAAAAATATAACAACCAAAAATATAACAACCAAAAATAGAACACCCAAAAATATAAGAACCAAAAATATAAGAACCAAAAATATAAGAACCAAAAATATAACGACCAAAATATAACCACCAAAAATATAACCATGTTTTGTCCAAAAATATAACCTTTTTTTAAAATGAAAATATAACCATTTTTGTACCAAGAATATAACCATTTTTGAACCAAAAATATGACCATTTTATAACCAAAAATATAACCATTTATACCAAATTTATTTTATTAGCTAACAGTATAACCATTGTTAAACTGAAATTACAACCTTTGTTCAGCCAAAAATATTACCTTTTTTAGCCAAAATATAACTATTTTTAAACCAAAAATATTACCATTTCTCAACTAAAAATATAACAATTTTTCAACCTTAAATATAAACATTTTTTAGATTGAAACTTAACTATTAAGCGCTTTTGTAATGCGCAAATGGGATTCCTCTGAGTTTTATTAAAGAAAAGCTGTAAACATGCTCTATCTATAAACAGAAAATGTTCTAGTTAATATGAGAAACTTCGCAATTTACGAAGAATCAGTGTCAAGTGAACATCTCAAGGAGTAGGATGTGCATATTCCTGTTCTCTCAGAAAGTGGAAACACTTTTAGTTAACAAAAGTGGGCATAGGTATACTTACGTGAAAGAGGGTATGAAAAAGAAAACCTACCCATGCGCAGGACGCAACAGGTATACAAGTCTTTGCATTCATTGACAAGAAAGATAAAACCCATTTTTGGTCGAATATGGTTATATTTTTGGTCTGTTATGTTTTTCGTCGATACATGTTTGGTCCTAAATGGATACATTTTCGGTCAAAAATGAATATATTTATGGTCAAAAAAAGTCTTATTTTTGACTCAAAGATGGTTATTTTTTCGGTCAAATAAAGTAATATTTTTAGTCAAAAATTATTATAATTATCGCCCAAAAAAGTTGTATTTTTAGTTTTAACAAGTTTTATTTTTGGCTAAAAAAATGGTTATATTTTTGTTTTAAAAGTTATATTTTTGGTCGAGAAAATTTTTTTTTGTCTAAAAAAAATGGTTATATTTTTGGTCAAATAAAGTTATATTTTTGTTCAAAAAAGGTTATATTTTTGGTCTGTTATATTTTTGGTCTGTTATATTTTTGGTCTGTTATATTTTTGTCCGTTATATTTTTGGTTGTTATATTATTAGCGTTATATTTTCCCCGCCCATTGTTTTGTTAGACATAACGGGAAAGTAATTTAAAGCCATAGAAATCGCATGACAATTAACAACTACTCGATAATAGTTAGGATACACTGTACATCTGTTTCTATAGCAAGCAATTACTTAGAGAGCAGTCTATGTGACGTCATAATGCGGGAAAAAACGCAACCCTAAATTACTTTTAGTATGCATTATTATATATCGTAGGACCTTTATTAAAAAGACATTTTATCATGTTAAAAAATTAATGATAAAAAATGTTTGAATTTACCAATTAAAAAAATCATTCATTTTAAGGGTTTGCACTGTTACAGCTGTCTGAATATAAATGTACATAATGTACATTATAAAACGCCTTTTCGGGGATTTTTACTAAGTATATTTTTTCTCTTTAGACTCAAACTTTATTCAAGCTATAGTTTTTATTTTAGCTGTCGATAATAGTATATGTATATTGATATTTTTTCATCACACTTTCCTTGTTATACTTATTTGTAATATTATGTTTGGTAATGTTTAAAATGTTAAAAGTATTTGTAACAAACTGTAACTTCATTCATTTAAGTAAATACTCTTCTTATAAACAGGGAAGTTAATAGAAAATGGCATAAATTTAACATCTATTTATTGAAAAAATTCTTGACCTTAAATCTAAAAGTAGATTGACTTAAAATGACGTAAACAGTTCCTTTAACTAATTTAATTTCAAATATTTTAGTATTTTCATTTCAAATTCACACTTGCCTTCAAGTTCAAACAATAAGTTTTCGTTAATTTAGACCAGTATTATTGTTATCTTTATTATTATTATTTTATATGTTATTCAATATTTATGATGCCTAGCAACTAGAGTTTATAACCAGTACTTTTCAACAAGTTCTCTATACTTCCTTTCCATAGAATTTAAACTTTAGTAATTTAGTTTAAATCTGATACAAACCAAACTTAGTCCTACTCATCATCCAATTGCAACAATACCCGGCCAACACATGATCCAAACCCAACCTACTCCAACACATGATCCAACCCCAACGTACCTATCCCAACACATGATCCAAACCCGACCAACTCAAACACATGATCCAAATCCACCCAGCCTAGTCCAACACATGATCCAAAGCAAACCTACTCCAACACATTATTCAAACCCAACCTAACCCAACACATGATCCAAGACCAAACTATTCCAACACATGATCCAAACCCAACCTAGCCCAACACTTGAACCAAACCAACCCTAGTCCAACAAATGATTCCGATCCGAGCAAAGCCTAGCACAAGCTCAAAAGCCAACCCGGTTGAAACAAGACACAAATTAACCTATAGTCCAAATCATGATTCAAACTAAAACCTTATTTGTTTAAAAATGCCTTCAGCCCCCCCCCCCCCTTCGCAATAGTATTAAAATTCAGTATTATATCTCGCTTTATTCTAGTTTTTGGATAATTGGGAACTTGTTTATGAAATCTGAGAAAAACTTAAAAAATGTACAACTTCATTTAGATATAAAGAAATATGGACTAACATTCAAGATATTCTGAAAAATAAAAAGTCTCCTCAACGATTCACAATGATACCTTTCCAAGTCATAAAAAAGCATCCGTGATGGAGATATCTTCTTTCTTCTATCTTAAAATTGACAACTGACAATCTGTAGTCATTGGAAAAAAGTGATTTAAAGAATTGAAAATGTTTGTGCTTAAAACTAAAAGATTTGGTTGTGAATATTGTTGAAATCGCAAAACAACATTAGTTATTCCCATATTAAATACAGATGTATTCCCATATTGAATACAGATGTATTCCCATATTGAATACAGATGTATTCCCATATTGAATACAGATGTATTCCCATATTGAATACAGATGTATTCCCATATTGAATACAGATGTATTCCCATATTGAATACAGGAGTTCTGCAGGATGGAAAGTTCCGAAAGGTTACTTTTGTGAATCATTCATGGCACTTTTCAAATAACAGATTATTTAGAATTTGTTGACAATCTCTTACATTTGAAATTTGAGATTTGAAATTGTTAAAACAAGAAAAAATGCTATTTCTTTATTTCTAGACGAAATGCTTGTTTTTAGTTCATATTTGTCCTCTAACTTTATTATAGCAATGGAACTAAAACCTCATGAAAAATGTCAATGGAAAATTTAATCCTCAATGGAATCAAGTTTTGTTAAAAAATAATTAAAATTTTTGTCCTCAAAAGTTATATCTGAACATATCTGAAAGATATTTATTATACAACATCTTCAAAGATTTTAAGCAAAGCTGTCAGGACAAGATTTTGTACAAGCTGCCAGGACAAGCTGCCAGGACAAACTGCCAGGACAAGCTGTCAGGACAAGCTGTCAGAAAAAGCTTTAATGACAAGTTGCCAAGACAAGCTGTAATAGCAAGCAGTCAGGAATAGTTGTCAGGCCAAGCTGTCTGGACAATTTGTCATGAAAAGCTGTCAGGACAATTTGTAAGGACAAGCTGTCTGGCCAATTTGTCATGAAAAGCTGTCAGGACAAGTTGTCAGGACAAGCTGTCAGGACAAGCTGTCAGGACAAGCTGTCAGGACAAGCTGTCATGACAAGCTGTCAGGACAAGCTGTCAGGGCAAGCTGTCAGGAAAAGCTGTCAGGACAAGCTGTCAGGACAATCTGTTAGGACAGGCTGTAAGGACAAGCAGACAACTAATTTTGAAATATTCTTTTTGTCGACTCATCTTTTAAATGCTGTTAAAACCTGTTAAAAATCGCTTATTCTCTAGGTTTAATAAATTTTCCTTTATTTATATTTTAGACTTTTTTGTAGAGAAAATTCCAGTAAATAATTTAATTTGTTTAAGAAGAAGTTTATCCAAGGATAATGTAAACTTTAAATAGTTTAAATGTCGTCTTCCTATTCCACATTATTAGGAGTCCGACTGTATTAGGAATAAGTTTAGCTTTTTTATAGCTGAATAATGTTTAGATTGTGTTTGATTAGTTCAGAGGATTTGGCCTGAAAGTCAGAGTTAAAATGTGTTTTTTATTTATTTAAGAGGGCTAAGATAAGTTTTTTTTCGTCTTAGTTTTGGTATCAGATCTTAATAAAGTAAACTTTTAATGTTTACAAAACAAGCAGTACACTGATCGAACATCAATGGTATATTGCAGAGTACGTGACTTATGATTATAAAAGTTGAAGATCAGTGAGTATAAACTCAAAATTACTCAAAATATTGTTTTTAACAATTTTGGTATCACGAGTAACCTTCCTACGAAAGTTTAGCTGGTCGTTGGCATAATATTAAAAATACAGAGGGCAGGAATGAAAAATACAGGAATTTGGCCTGAAGGGGGAAACATTTTTTCTTTTCCTCATAGAATAGAGATTGCGGATGGTTGTGACGTAAAAAAATGGAAGTACGATGCGCGTTCTAAAAGGTTAGATACGATGCGCGTTCTAAAAGGTTAGATACGATGCGCGTTCTAAAAGGTTAGATACGATGGAATCAAAATAATTTTGTGAGTCGTCCTCTTTACTCGGTCTTGTAAGTTGATGCTTGATTTTCATACAGTGAAACCCTTAATAAAGAATACATAGAAAGAATTCATCAAATGTCGTATTCTTCACTTTCTGATAATGGAATGTTGCAGATATTTAGTTTTTTAATTAAAAGATTATATGGAACTCTTTAAAACTGTTACCTCACATTCATGGCTATTTACGTATTTTTGCAAACACTGAAATTTACGTAATATAGATTAAAACTCATTGAAAACTTGTCAAGACGACATTCGATAAATTCTTCCGATGTATTCGTTATTAAGGGTTTCACTGTAGGAGGCTGAATCTCTAAACACCAAGGGATTTTCACATGAACTTGTCTTACACTCGGTGCTTTTTTCTGCTGCATCCAAGGTTGTATAATTAGGTTGGTTACTCTAGATGCGCTCCAATGTATGGAAAATGTCTTCTGCTGAGATAAATAGATAAAACCCTAATATGACGTCCCTCTCGCTTCTTTAATCAATGACGTCATTATACGTATTTATCGATCTATCTTAGGAGACGACATTTTCCGCACATTGGAGCGAATCAAGAGTTACCCAGCTTATTATACAGGGTGTCCCAAAAAACATGGGAATTCAGTGACGAATTCGATATCGTCTTTGTTATGAATAAGCATTGTAATACCTAATTTCAAAACCAATAATATTATCATGTCTGCTAGAGTTTATTTTATGAAAAGGATAAAAGACTGTAAAGATGTGTGTATAATGTCTCCGCACGATGAACAGTGAAGACGGACAAGTTTACTCTGTTTGTATACTGTACTTATCTTGTTTTACTAAGTACAACCGTATGCAGTCAAAACATAAACAAACAAGTTATAAACAAAGCAGACGATTACAGCTTTCTCATTAGGTATCACTATTCTAAATCAAAGAATTATTTAAAAAGACAATATCGAATTCGTCACTGAATTCCCATGTTTTTTGGGACACCCT